ACTTCGGCGCTTCTCCGTTGGTGCGCGGCTGCTGGGTGACTTCGGCGTTGTGCTGGTGGGCGAACTGGCGTCGCCGTCGGCTGACTCACGGTGTACTGCGGAGTGGCGGCACTCTACCCTTGAATAGACAAGCCTTGTTTAGTCGCCTATCAACAAGTCGTGCGCTATTCGTCTGTAGCTGTGCGTTCACGACCACAGCTCCGTGCTGACTGTCTCGTATGTTTCTGAGTCACTTCTGTTATAGCTGGTGTTCTTCGTGTTGCTGAGTTGTGTGGCTACATGTTGCGTTGATATGGTGACGGTGTCGCAAAGGAGTGTTGATACGGTCTCCCGTGTTGGTTAGCCGTTTCGATGATGTTGCTGTAGTCGTTATTGTTGCCGGTGTAGTCGTTATTGTTGGTGTAGGGGTTTGTGTTCGTGTGGGCTAAATTCCGCGGATATTTAGTCCTCACAGTATGTAACTCCTCTATCGATGTATGCAGATGTATTCAAAAGCAGTAATCTGTCAAAGTAAAATTTGTAGATGTTCATGAAAGGTATGAAGCCTTCGGCATAGCCGAAGACAGCGCTGCTCTTACTTGTTTTTCATTACATTCGGTTCTCGTTAGAAAAATTTGGCGCTTCATATTTTAGTGGAAATGCTAACCATCTATAAGCCATTTTTTCCAACAGTGGGTCAAAAAGGCCCATTCTGGTTCGAGTTGACGGGTTAAACTTTTGGAAAAAAAGTAGACAAACCTTGTTTTCAATATGTAATCCGCAAAAAATCGTAGGAACTCCGTAATTTAATATAACGGTTGATAAGATTATTGCAAAAATTTATTGAGAGCGACATAAATTACCCCAACAACTAAACTTTTAACATTTTTTTATTTCTTTAAATTTCAATAGCATAAACGGATCTGTAGAGAACATAGAGATCCGTGTGATTATGTATGTATATACCTCAGACCTTCTTCTGTTCGCCCATCAATCAGCGCCAGACACTCAACATTTTAATTCAAGTAGGAAGTAACAATATTTAAATTTAAAACTAATTCAATAAAGAAATAAATAGAATTATAATAACAGAATAATTGGCATCGCGAATGCCTAACGCTGACGAGTTGAAATGATAAGATTAGTAGCCTCATGGCTCTTTGAAATCTACCTTATGAGCAATAGCGCCGGCGTTTCCAAACGCGCCGGCGTCGCCGCCGCCGCCAAATATTTTTGAAGTTGACCACGCCGCCGCCGCAAAGCCTGTCGGCGTAAACCTCTAATGTGTACGTACATATATGTCGTGTAAAGAAATGCCTAATAGCCCAGTTATGCAGTCTTAGCGTTGCATGAGAGTTGTCACATAAGAATCTGTTAAATGGGCTTTGCACTTATCATGTAGAATTCTGTTTGGCTTTGATTTTTATGCAAAATGGTATAGCAGTGCATACTGGGCTATAACGCTTTGCTTCCACTTATGTACGCCCACTTATATTTTTCAGTCTTACAATAACCCACAAATTAAGACTCTTAAAAATAAAAGTCCCTGCCGAAGTGTCTTTGCCTAACGGAAATTTTAGCAGTTGATAAATAACCCACAACGGAAAACACAAAAAGATCGCACGGAGTGATATGCCACGGTGAGAAACATTCTTTGCTTGAGAGATGAGTGTTTGTATCAGTGGTAAACACCATACAAGACACTTGGTGACGGTTATTTTCGATCTCTGGTAATAGCTCATATTCAGACAGGTAGTAGGTACACACACACTAGCTTTGTTTCTTTACTTTTCTAGCAGATAATTATCAGGAAGAAGAAGAATGGGAAAAATTACAGAATTACGCTCACAGCGAGTGAAATATATAAATATGTAGTTAAGAAACGCAAACTAGCAGAAACTAGCAAGTGAACATCTGACCAATGCATTTGAAAACTGAAAAAATTTGGTGCAATTTCTTTATCGCCTTTTATGTTTCGAAATTATTCACAAATTCTTACGTTTTGCAACACCTTATCAATATTCAAAATAACTCGCTCATTTTTATAAAAAAAATACCAACCAGCGTTGCCGCGAGCTTGAAAAAAGTATCAAAAGCAAATACAGCTGTTAATTTTTAATCTTTAATTTGAAAAACAAATAATAAATAAAATTTCATTATTAAATCCATAGTTATAAAACAAAATGTATATTATTTGCATAACGAAAAACAAACTTATAGAACCCCTAAACCACACAATTCGTAACCCGAGACTTGCTCGAGTAAATATGTGTAAGAAATATAAATGTGCGTTGTATATTTTGCTAGCTACAGCTTTAAAATGCAAAAAAAGATTATTAAACAATTTTTAATTTTTTTCTACGCTCGTATCCATATTTTACAGCACGATCTGGTCACCAAAATATCAAAGCTAGACTAAAAATTGCGTAGTTGTCGCCAGACGCAACACAAATTATTGTACAATAACACAAGCATGAGCAAAATATCAAAATGATTTTGATTTTAGCGCAATAACTGTGCAATTCGGTACAAACAACCACACAAACGACCGAAGCAAGCCCGATATTGCGCAATGTTTTTGTGTGGTTTAGGGGCCCTATTCCCCTTATAAAATTTACCAAATTAAACTTATAAACAAATATAAAATCTTAAGACTTTAAATAACAAGGAACAAATTATTTGCCTTTAAACTAGTATTATTATTCATAGTTTTCAAAAATTAATTTCTGCCAGCCAAGGTATCAAAATGGGGCATTTGTGAACAAAAAGCAGAGACCCAAAATAATAATTATCTTAATATTTGAGATCAAAAACGTCGCCTTGTTTTAAGCGAAATTTTTTTTCGGCTTTGTGTAATAATTACACAGGTCCACAAAAAAAGCGATGAAAGGTTCCTTTGACCAAACCTAGTCTGTTATATGTTTTTGGGGTCGCTGAACACGAATCTGAAGTCCGTTTTGCTCCATCACGTCTGGATTTTTTCTAACCTCAAAAAACTTTTCCTTTTGGTTGTTGTTGTTTCCGACAGGGTGGGTGTATGATGTATTTTGAAACGAATTTCCGTCATCCGTATCGATGAAGATGGCACAACGCCGAAACCGGTTTGTCTCCAAACCAAATTTGAAAAGGGATGACGGAAATTCGTTCCAAAATACTCAAAAAACTTCTTGGATTTTACGTGACGTGCTACTTGAGACTCCGCAGGACCTGGGTTCGATACTTGGCCCGAGCAACATTTAAAATAGAAAACGTTTCTTCTAACAGAGGTCGCCCTCGAGAAACAATGGCGAACCTTCGAGTGGATTTCAAATACCACAAATTAGAGGTGAAGCTCGGCCAAACACTTGGCAAGAAGTGTAAGCGCCAAAATATTATTATTAATAAGAGCCAGTCGCAGCTAACAGAAATTTTATACTTCGGTAATTACTAAAAAACTAATATAAATAATACTAATTTGAAATTTTAACTGGCTTGCCGAACGAAATTTTGTTAGTAAAAAACTTTTTAATGAACTTTTCTAAATATTTTTGTGTGGAAATTTTTGAAATATAACATATAATTGGTAATCGAAATATCTTAACCGTGTCTTCTAGATTCTTACTGGAGAAGACTGGAATGTTGTAATGTATGATGGAATACTTGCCTATGGAGGAATAAAGACAATTGGAGCATTGGCCTGCATATATTTCATTATTTTATTCATTTGTGGCAACTATATACTTTTAAACGTTTTCTTGGCCATCGCCGTTGATAATCTTGCTGACGCAGATTCTTTAACAACAATAGAAAAAGAAGAAGAGATAGATGATGGAAAAAATAACAAGTCACATAGTCCGACTCCAACTATTGATGGTGCGGACGACGAGAATATGGATATTGAGGTTGATTTGGGAGGACATTGTATAGATATGGATAAGTTGTAAGTACGATTTTTTCTTGGCCTAAGGGCATTTCCTTTAAAACGAACTATTACAATGTATTGCATATTGCCGTTTATTTAAAATTTGGAACATCATTCTCCTTTTTAACATGTTTATTTACCGCAAAACTAAACAGAGATGACGAGACCTTTTCCGAAGAGGAAGATAACGAGATCTGCGATGAAGAACAAGATGGTAAGTGTTCGTAACGTTTATTTTATATTAATAAAATTAGATTACAACTAAGACCTAAGCTAATTATTAATTAAAAACATTTTTTATTTAAGTATGTAGGTAGATTACAGGGCAAATAAAAGATGGAATTATGGGAATATTTATGAAATGCCTGATAATCGAAATAACTTCATTATAACATTATAACATATGTATATCACATTCCTACATTAGCACATGTGTATTAATATATAACCACTTATGTTACATACAATACATACATACATATCTGAAAAGAAAGCTTTCCCAACTAACTTTCTTCAAATTAAAAGCTTTAAACCCTACCCATTCTCATACAATCCTCATTAACAATGTTTAGAATCCCGATCCGAAGTAACACCGCGAGCAACTGCACGACCCCGGCGACTTTCTGAAATCAGCATTAAGAAGACTAAAAAACCAATGCCACGTGGAAGTTCGTTTTTTATATTAAGTAACACGAACAGGTAACTTAAAAGATAAAATAAACTCTCTTGCCTTTGCATGCATTTTTACGAACTTATAATCGTACTAGCACGCACACAAACATGCAAATACTTAAAACCACTTTACTGCATATAACGAGTTACCCAAAGCGTAATATTTATTTTATCACTCAAAGAAGCATTTCGCTTGTTTGACACATTCATATAGCAAAATAGTCCTGACAGGTCAAATCTGGCAACTATCTTTCAACTCACCACAGACCAAGGCACATTGAACAGGTATTATTAGTACAGAAGCTGATTTGATTTTTTTCAAATTATTTGGTCTCGAAAATGTCAAATATTTTTACGTTCTTCTCACAAAAACTTTCAATTGTTAAAATCTATTTGTATATGAAACCTTTTTCCATACAAAATAAGCGATTGAATAGCAGCTTTTGGAACGTTAACTCAACTCTGCAGCACAACCGCTGATTTCTGGACCTTGCAAAGGATGGATCAATGCCTCGAGAAGCAAACAAACTTACTAAGAAAGAAAGTTGCAACAATTTTTATTTTTTCGAATTAAAATTTTTTATTTATCATTTCTTTATTTCACATGGCACGCTTTGATTTAGAAGAAAATAACCAGAACAGTTTTTGACACTTTCGATAACAGAAGCCACAACGAAATACACGCAAATGTTGTTTTTGCTCTAATGCTACTACCTGTTTGATGTGCCTTGCCACATATCTTCTTTCTTCTTCTTTTTCCGCCACTGATGTGAAGAGTTAGACGTCTTTTTAATTTGACCTTATTTGGAAAGTTGACCCCTACCCAACTTCTTTTTCCGCCACTGATGTGAACGAAGGGAATAGAGATTGAAAAATCAATACAAATCAGCACATATTTCGGGAAAATAAGGACATTTGCGTACTGAATTGGGAGTAGAACATTTTCAGTACAGCAAGTGAAAATTCAGTACTGTCCTTACCAAATCGGTACGTCTGGCAACCGTACCTTAAGGTCGTCCTCTTGGTTTAAATACTGGCATTGTTTTTATTCCGCATAAAATATTTTGTGTAAATGACGGTCCACGAGCATAATCATTTTCTTCCATTTCAGAAGATGACTCAATGATATTGGAGCGTTTTCTTTGTGGATTATCAACGTTGAACTGGCTATTGGAATTTCTTCGTCACTTGAAGCACTATCTTCTATAAATTGTGAAGTACCTGGAGTCGAATAATTCATTCCTTGAGGTGAATCCGATTGTTGGAATAGAGAGTGACTCGTATTTGGACCACTTTTTGGAGTGTCTTTATTATTATCATGTGTATCAAGCCTGCAATCGCTTTCTCCTTCCACATCAACAAGATTCTTGCCTGCATTATTTTTCACTAGTTCATTGAATTTACTTATTCCCAGTACTAAAACATCTTCATTGTCCTCCCAAGCTGTTTGCATATCTACTATGCTCTTCATACGTAGCAAATAGCGATCGCATTAGTTTGAGGGCAGCATATTTCTATACTTCTAAAGCTGCGTCAGTAGTTTTTTTTTTGAGAGATGCGAGATTCTGTAATACAAACTGGTTGTTCGGCGTAATTTACGGGTTGTAGAAATACTCGCTGGTGGCCGCTGTGGTGTAGTGTTAAGCAGTGGGCGCTTCCACTCCGCAGCGCCTGAGTTCAAGCCCTGGAGCAACATCGCAAAAAAATGTAGAAGAAAGTTTTTTTCTTAACGGCGCACAGTGGGAGAAATGGTTAATCTAGCGGCGCTTTCTTAATAGCTTCTTAAATACAATGAAAAAATGCATTACTTTATTCTAAAAATATGTGTTAATTATTTATTTATATGTTTTTATGTTTTATTAGAAAAAAAAAACTATTCAGAGTCGGAGCTCTCAGAATTACTGCCGTCAGGTAGATCATTTATATGTAAAAGAAGGTTTTTGACCTCATCATCTATTTCAATGTGATTTTTGGAGTACTTGGAGGTGCTTTTAGACTTAGATGTAATAATAGGATCTGAAGAAACTAAAAGAGTGTGTATTAAGTCTTCCATTGTATTCAACCTTGAGTTTTTTCGCGTATGGTTCCGTCTATAACTGCGAAAATCTTTATTTCTTGCCTCAAGTGCCTCTTCTGACATCATTCCTATTGGTAGCGAAACTTTTTCAATAATTTCTGCTCCGTGTATTAATATTTTATGTACAGATGGAGGCATATAAAACCAAGGATATTCGGAAACAAATAATTATGCTGTATTCCAAGCATATATGCGAAAAGCCTCTATGTTAACTGCATACCCACATGCCATAGTACGCAAAATTATACCAAACCTTTTTATAAGTTCTACTTTTACGCCAGTTACTGTAGAGGCTAAAATTGGATGCTGGAAAAATATTCTTGCAGTATTCCCAGTGTTTGTATTGCCTGATCCTTTCGTGGGAATGTTCACCAATATACCCATTTTTTCTTTTAGCTCAAGTTGAATCTTTCTTTTGGTTTGCTGAGCGATTTCTTTATGTTCTCCACGAATTTGCCAATTTTGTATGGGTATTCTATAGGCGATATGAATTATACACTCAAAGCACCGTATCCAAGCATGGAGTGTTGACAATCCGTACTCATACAAGTGCTCCTGTGGTTGTCTCAATTGAACATTATTTAGATTATTCATGAATTTTGGTGTTGCTCCACAAATTCCACAGGCCTGCGATGATGAGCCCGCTAAAGTGTTAAAAACTTTCCCATCAATCATTGTTAAATGGAATTCATGTACTACTTCGAAAAAACTCAACTTTGTCGGAACAATGCTTACAATTTGCCTTTTAATATTATCTATCTCAACCTTAACTAACTCCGCTGACTCTTTTTCAAAAATTATTTTAATGGGTCTGCAGAACCGAGTTGAAGAAGGCCTGTTATTTTGCCATAGAACAGCGTCTCCTTTTTTTAATTTGTAAAGGCACAATACATACAGCAAATAAATACTCATCAGTTATTTCACAATCAGAAGCACTAAAACGTTGACGGTAAGTGGAGTGACCACTGCTGCCGTCACAGCCCCATTTAAATATTGCTTTTATGCTGTCATTAATATTGGCTGCAGTCAAAACACCTTCAAAAGATTTGGAAAATCCTTGTACTATACGTGCAACAGTATGGTCTACAAGACTTTGCAGGGCAACTTCCGCTGAAAGTTCAGTTACGTGTATGCCACTGGGGTAACACTCTGTTTTAGCCTTAAGTAAAATATCGTAGCTTGGATAAATATTGCAGTTTCGTTCTTTGGCACCATATTGCATTATTTTGTACGACCTTTTTGAGTATCCGCCATCTATATAAAGAGATAAAGCTTCCTCAGGTGTATACGGAATTGGGGTTTTTTGTTCAGAGCTTACAGACTTAAGCATTTTCGAAGCAGTCGAACTTTCTTCAAACAATTTTGAAACAACCTGTGAAGCATTTCTTTTTCCAGCTTTGTAAAGACTTACGCTTGCCGCTACCATTAACTCTTGGTTAGGTGTTTCGTTAACAACTGATGCAATTTTTTTTTTTGAGTTTTCATTGTACACTCTGAAAAAGGTTTTTGTATACGGTGATGAACAGTTGGCTTAGAAAAAATTATATTTTCATCCCACCATTTCTTATTTCGCTCTTCGAACACTGACATAACCCTATGACATTCTTTCCACTTTTCTACAAGTTTGCTTATGAAATTTCTTAATTGTTTTTGAATTTTGCGAGTTTGCTCTTCACTATACTTTGAGCGATCAATGATGTTAGAAAATATATGATTTTCAACCATTAGAAATTTTTTTGTTGGTACTGGTTCACTGTGCCATATTAAAAAAAGCGTGCGTTTAGACTCTGCCATAGTATCTAAAAAAGGAAAAAAATCAGTAACTTGCAAATACTTGCAGCCAATTTTTGGACAAGACGTAGACCACAACATATTTTAACAAATTATACAAACATTGAATCGAATCCCATCGAATCCACCACACTTATTTTCTACGGAACATTGGATTACACATATAAAAACACTTTGATATAGGACAATTTCTTTTTCCATTTTAAAGATCTAAAACATATATTAACAGACCACAATGACTTTTTTTTTTATTTAACACATACCAAATAATAATAATTAAGTCACAAATCTTATTACAAAATTTTATATTTAAGTTTTTCAGTTCAACAAAAATTGCACTTAAAAATAGGTAAATAGTAATTATTGCACTTGCTAAAACATGTGTTAAATTCGAAAGCTCACAGATATGCGAATATTTGGAACAAAACAAAAACGAAAACAGAAAAGACCCCGTTAGGAAATAAATTTTCAATAAAACAAACAAAATTTGGAGAATTCTGAATTTAAAAATTTCGCTAAAGCGCCGCTAGATTGACCATTTCTCCCACTGTGCGGCGGTCGCCCCTCAGCAGGCAATGGTAAACCTCCGAGTGTATTTCTGCCATGAAAAATAGCTTCTCATAAAAATACAATCGCCGTTCGGAGTCGGCGTAAAACTGTAAGTTCCCCCCCTTTGTGTGACAACATCAAGGCGCACACCACAAATCATAGAAGAAGCTCGGCCAAACACTAACATATGCGTAAGCGCCAATCTATTATTATTATTATTATTATTATTATTATTATTAGAAATACTTTGTGTGTCTTGAAATAGTACCTTCTTCCATCGTTCACAACATCGTTCAAAGATATCCACGATCAACTCCTGGCGAACAGAAAATATGTATGTGACGACAAGGAAGTTCCATTGAGGCTCTCCAGGTACGACATTTGTCAATTCTGGCAACTATGTTGAATGCTCTTTTCTGTATTCCGAAAGATTAATTGAAAGGCCTGCTGTCTTCTGTCTGAGCAGATGTCAACCTCCCTTACCGCCATTGCGCCTAACAGAAGGCAATCGACTGCTTCCTTAATAGCAGCAACCTCCGCCTGTAACAAACTGGAAACTCAAATTTAAGGTTGGTGGAAAGCTCCTTGGGGAAAAAACGCCTCCATCGAC